AATAAAACATTTATTACCACCTCTAGTAAGCATGTCATTCAATTCACATATATCTGAACGAATAATTTCAAGTAAACATGTAGATCTTACTACACTATGAAATGGCTTTCTAATCATTTTAGATTTAATACAAGTTTCACATTTTTCTAAGTTATTAGTATCACATTGTATCATACCACATTTAATCATTCTTTTCATGGTACTAACTCATATATGTGCTAATCTACCATGCCATAAAATAAAAGAATCAACAATATAAACAAATGATTTGATTTTATTAAAATTATCCTCCAAAGTACACAATTTGACCATTCCATCAGTAGAATAGCATTTTCCAACAAAATACCCATTATGGGTTAGTACAAGTTTCTCGGATTCAAGAACAGTTTTTATTCCGGGTTTTCCTAACAAAACTCCACTTGGTAAGTTCCTATTCATATCAGGTACATGAAGGACATTGGTCAAAGTTATTTTCTTCCCCGAAGTGAAAATGATTTCCACATTCCCTTTGCCAATCACCTTTGATCTTCCTTCATTTCTCATTTGAGTTTCTTGACCATCTTGAATGTCATGATAAGTTTTAAAGAGTGACTTATCATAGCAAACATGGACGGTTGCATAGGTGTCATACCACCATCCCGGAACTTTCCCTCGAACTGCATTGATTTCGCTCACCGTGGCGTTAATTTCATCAGTGGAGTTCACACGGCCTTTCTTCTTTGGATGTTTTTTATGCCTGCAATCTCTTGCATAGTGTCCCGGCTTTCCACAAACGTAGCAAGGTCCTTTAGACTTATTTTTGAACTTCCCTTAATCCTTTTTAGGGCCAAGAGGTTTTCCCTTCTCCTTGTACTTGTTGGTGTTGTCAACATTATCCACGACATTGGCTTTCGAAGAGCCATCATAAGAACTTTCGGTCTTATCTCTTACTCTTGATTCTTCCTCTATTCGAAGATTTTTTGTATATGCTCCAAAGAGAAGTCTTCGGAATTATGAAGAATCTTCTTCCTATAACCTTTCCAAGAGCTTGGGAGTTTAGCAATAATTGCTCCCACTTGAAAAGTTTCGGGAAATTCGATCTTCACCGCTTTCAATTTGTTGACTATTACTTGTAGTTCATGCACTTGAGGCAATAATGGTATGTTATCAAGCATTTTGAAATCAAAAATTTCTTCGTACCTTCTTCTTCGGCTTTATATGTACTTTCAAGAGCGTACCAGATTTCCTTTACTGAAGTAGTATTGGTATAGAGATCATACAAGCAATCCGAAAGTGCATTTAGAATATAACCCCGGCATATCAACTCATCCTCTTCACGCTTCTTTCTTTCAGCACGAATTTCATCAGTATCTTCATCATTTGCATCGGGAATAGGCTCCAATCTTGGATCAAGAACATAGAAAATCTTCAACGCCGTAAGAAGGAATTTCAGTTTGTCTTGCCATCTAGAGAAATTTGCACCGTCGAATCTATCCAATCGTACCAAGTCTTGATTCATCATCTTGATGGTTGCAAGTGTTGACTCCATTTCCATCGCAATAAATTATGGAATATCGTTTGAGAATGTTGAAAATATGATACAACAATGGAAACAAGAAATAGAATAAGAAGATGAAAATAAAATATAGAATATAAAGACTTGATAACAAATAATAAATCGTTGTCCTCAAACGATATTTGCCTCTTCCACCAAAGCTTTTGAGGATTAAAGTGACAAATAGTTTGTAGGATTCAAGCCTATGAATGAAGAACACTAAAAGTTTTAAGTGTTTCTTCAAAAGAACAAGCGAAAGAAGGATATATAATTGATTATATGAAGAACAAAAAATAGAATATTGGATGAATAAGGAATGATTAATGTGAGTTTTTTAAAAGTATTTTTGGATTGATCATAAACTCATATTTATAGTACTCACTCATCCCCACACGAAATGGTCTCAAACTGTATTGAAAAGATGTATCACTTCATAACAAAACCACTAGAATTTTGAAAATAACGGTCGGATTTTATCACTATGTGACCGTATAGGTATAACTATGCGGTCGCATAGTTATAGCGTTGGCTTTCCTTTAATTCTCAAATGGCCCATATGCTACCGCAAGCCACAATGGCCTATGCGGTCGCATAGGCCATTTTGAAGGCTCCAAGCATGGTTTTCTCTCCTATTTTCAAATTCAATCTTCTTCTCTCCAAATTCATCCAATCCGTGGTTATTACTTTTGATTTTGAACAACTATAAACAAGATTTCCAACAGTTTCAGCATATAATTGAAATCAATGGGGGCATGAAGAGTATGCAGAATGAATGAAGAAATGGAAGAACTAGAGAAAAAAAAAAAGGCAGAAACTGAGACTTGCCCTTAATGTTTACTTCGTTATTTTTTGCAAGAAAATTTGTGGGTTTTCATGTTTATGTAGTTTATACAAGATACTTGTTTGGGAAGTTTTCAGTCAGCTTCAATATTGGCTGCAATAGTCGGAATGAGTTTGATTTAGAAATAGAAAAGAAGTGTGCTGTTGGTCAACTTGAATAGGTAAAAATGTTTTGTGTCCCAATTGTATTTTCTCATGTGGTAAACGTGACTTTGTCTTTCGGCTTATTGAACTTTCATCTAGATAAAAAAACTTGCATAAAATGTGCGATGTGGACACTTCATGACCTGAAAGGGGGGGCAAGGACGAATATCAATGTAAATTCTATGTATGAAGTTAAACGGTATTTTATACTGATGAAACTTAACCATACTTGAACTGATGGATTACGGTTTGAATCACTTGAATTGTTGCATCTATTATTATTATTTTCATTTATTACAAAATTGTGTATACCAACAATAATAATATTTGTCTCTCTTCTTAAACATTTCTCTTAAAAAGAAAGAAAGAACATCAAAAGACAAAAAGAAAAACCAAAAAAAAATAATGTATGAATTCTTGAAAATAATATATTATGTAACTTGATTTTTTAAAACTTTTTATTCATTAAACAAAAAATTATTTATTAGATGATGATGAGTAATAATTTCCATTTGTACATTTAATATTGTCGAAAATAATTTGAAATGAGTTTTTGCTATATTTTTAAAAACATTTATTTTATTACAATTTATATTTTATTTTTTCAAGTTGTAGTTTAAAGGAAATGAAGATATAAACTTTTTAAACCTCCAACTATAGAAGACCATCTTTTAGAGGAGAAAAGAAAGAGTCCATATTTGTTGGGGATTAAAATTAATTTTTTAAAATTTAAATTAAAGTCGAAAATTAATTTAAATCATATATTTTATGGGATTCACTTATATTTCAATTACATATTTCATCAACTTTTATAAAAATTTGCTAAAATTTTGATTTTTATCGCCCGGCAGACGTGGGAAGAATTCAAGAAAACACAAGAAGTTTCTAGTATATAATTTAAAACACAATCAAATAGTTAGACAAATGATGCATAAAGTATTAGATAAACATATATGGTGTAATTTGATATTTCCAATTAAGAACAATTTGGTCTGATAAATTATTTATAATGCAAATTTTTAATTTTTAACTAAAAGGTGTTTATGTTACCTACCTTGAAATAAAATGTGATGTGTAAATTAACAAAACATGTGCAAAATGTTAATAAACATGTTATATTTGGTAAATTTTCCTTTTTAACTAGATTCAAATTTTATCCTATTAATTATTACCATCACATTTGTTTAGTCAAGTTTTCAATTTAAAAAATAATAATAATAATAAATGGCATTTATACGAAAAAGTTAGGTAACAACGTTATAAATTGTTGTTTGTCTTACTATGATTGTAATTCAATTTTTCTTTTTTAAATTATGTTTTCCTTCATGCCGACCCATAATCGCAATTCGATTCATCTTTGAAAATTGGATAAAGTACACTTGGGGTCTCGAACTTTTGAAGGTGTGATGATAGGGTTTCGAATCTTCGATTTTTAAATTTTAAACCTTATAAAGGTCTACGTCCGAGGTTCCTTTGTGTTGAAAATCATTAATGTTACAGTTAAAAGGTCAAATACTAAGTAAAATGACCATATTATTCTTAGGGTGCGTTTGATTTCGAGCATGAAATTTGTATTGAAAGAAAATAAATTCTAAACAATTCTATTATGTCCATATTTGTCAATTATTATTTCAAAACTATTTTTTTTATATACTCAATTTTAACGGCATGTATACACAATAAAATATTATGTACATAAATTCAAAAAATTTCTATACTTTTTAATCATATTTTTTCCTCAAAATCACTATTCAAAATATTATTTTTCGTAAATAAACCAATAGGGACGACATCCAATTATTATGATAGGCCAACTCACGAACTTACCCGAATTAGATCGAGCCAGATCCGGTAACGACCGGAATCTCTCTAAATGCACGTGTGAAGTTTGAAAGCGTGTCAAGCATAACTCTGGGGCCCACCCCACCTCAACCCCGCCCCAGCCAGCTTGAACTAGCCCGACCACCACGCCCGGCGTCAACCCTCGACCTTGACCTACATCGTTGACCTCTGTCTTTCTCTCTCCTTCAGGAATGTTCCACGCATTGCTCTACCGACACACGTAGAGCAGAGAGAGTCCCAAAAATACTCTCCAAAACATGTAAAACCCATTTGCCAATTCGTCAATTCATTCATATATCTTTGTTTTTGCCGCTCATATCTCCTCGCCACCAAAACTACACATACATACAATTTCAAGGGCGTTTACACTTTTCTGTCCTTTTCATTTCAAGCATTTCTTCTTTTCATAGGTTCTTTTGATACTATTATTAAAAACCCAGTTGAATAATGGATGAATTTGGAGTTTTGGTAGAAAGTATTGGGTTCAAAGCTCCAGGGAAATCAGCTCCCATGGCCAAATTGAAGTCGAAACCGAATTTCAACAGCGGCAGCAGCAACAGCAACAATGGATTCCCGCAAAGCATAGGCATCAATTCAACGACACATAATGACTCCTCTTTCATTGTTGATGATCTTGATGGGATTTTCAGATCCAATGCTAATGTCAGCAATCGAAAATCCCACAATTATTTTGATGATGACGATATTTTCGGCGGGCACTTTTCAAATACGACTCAATCAGGGGGCATTGACTTGGATTCCGTGTTTAAGAGTTCGAGTAATTCTTCAAATTATGAGTATTCTTTCGGTTCCAATGGGCATGATGACTTGTTGGGCTCAACACCAAAAGGAAGTAATTTTGTTGATGATTTGTTCGGGAATTTCGGGACGAAATCAAGTGGTTTGAAGGGAAAAAAGGAGGAAAACGGGTCTGGATTCGATGATTTGATCCCAGGATTTGGAGGAACCAGCCAGTCAAATAATGGGTATGTGTTAAATGTGCGTGAATCTCGTGGATAGGTTTCTGTTAATTTAGTTGCTTGTGTTGATTTGAGAGTGCAATCCAGTGGTTCAGCTGTGAATCGTTTTCTTTATTATACGATTACCTCAAACTTAGAATTATTAGAGAAATCTGTTGATTCTATTATGACTGTAAATTCTGGATTATTTTTAATCGCGGTATCATATGATTATATTAGGTACACTTCATTTAAGAAACGTTATTAGCCCATATGCTCTAGAAACAAAACTTAAATAAGATAACAAAGAAAATGTTTTGTGAAGGTATGCTAATAATTTTTATTAATTTAGAAAAAACCTATGATAGGTTTCCAAGGAAGTGTTATGGGGTGCTCAAAAGAAAATAAATTTTATTTGATACATAGATATTTTACAGGATGTGTAATGTAGAGCAGCCATGAATATGAGATGTAACGGGAGTAGAAATATTTTTATCAACTTACAATTACATCAAGGTTTTTCTTCAAGTCCCTGTTTGTACCTCTTCAGTCATGGAGGGACTTACGAGGCAAAATGAGGGTTAAGTATTCGTTAAAGACATAGTTAAAATAGACCTAAAGACTGATTGGGATAGATTTAGGTTCCAGTATTAACAAGGTAAGAGGACTTGATGTTGAATACATTGGATTTTGAATTATAACGCCTTGAATGAAATGGAGAGGTGCTATGGTGATTCATGTAATAGGAGGATCCTCTTAAGTTAAAAATCAAGTTTTATAGAAAAAGTTATATCTTCTATTCTTAAAAGTATTGAGTTGTTAAAAGGACAAAGTGTCGATAACATGATTGTAGTGGAAATGAAGATTTAAAGATGGATGTGTGTCTATAATATCATAAACAAGCTATGGAAAGAGAATATGCTAGTAACTAGAGATGGCACTGATAGAGGACAGATTAAAGGAATGAGGAATTAGATGGTTGAGACGTGTCTTGCGCATAGCTAAAGAAGCTTTCATTCATAATACTTATGCGGTCTTGGAAGAATAAGTTAGAAGAGAGAGATGTAGGCCAAATAAACCCTAGTGTGATTGCAAATGATTTGTTTGCATTCAGATCTTTCAGCAGATGGGACCACACTAGTTGGAAAAGATAATTCATGGAGCGTACTCAAGAAACATGAAGAAAATAATTAGAATTCTGGTTATGATCCATGTTTTTTAGAATTTTAATTTTCATAGAGGTGGTTCATGCATTTGAATACAATTAATTAGATCTCTTCATATCCTGATATCTCAAGTTTTTGTATAAAATTGTGATATGATTTGGCAAAGAGCACGTGAAAGGCATTTTAATCTTTTGTCTAAAATATTCTACATGCTTGGCCCATTGCTTGCATATGAAGTTGCATGGTAACTATAGGAATGAATATATGTACCCCCTTCAAAAGCTAAACTTTTTAGGTAAAGTGGGAAATGTTAAAAGCTATGGAAAGATTGTGAAATTATTTCCCTTAATAGTTGATTGTTTGATAATCACACAATCTTTTTCTTTTAGAGTTACTTGTAGCCCTATAAAATAGGATTTTATTATATACAATTTATAATATTTTAACATGGTATCAGAGTCTCTTGTCTTGGGTTAAATTCACTGCCAAATTCGTTTTTCGGCGAGTTGCCTTTGTGTTGCTCGTCATTTTATCCTAAATTTTATTTCCTTTAATTTGTTTGAGACTAATCATATCCTCTTAACAAAATGATATCAAATATTACCTTTATAGCACTTATAAAAAGTATTTTAAAATAACGTGTAATGCACGTTCAACTTTGACTAGTCTAACAAAATTTCAAAACTAATTCCCTGATTCCTTAAAAAAACAACACTCTCCAAGAAGAAAGCAACAAGAACAATCAACATCCGATAGTCAAGAATAAAAGAAGACTTGACTGGACAAACGTAACTAAAAGGGGAAGAAAATTCTCAAAATTCAACTTCTATTATTCATATTTTTTGTGATGATGAAATACTAAAAATGAACAACTTTTTTATACTACATTTGGTATATAAGTATTAATTTTTAATACATGAATTTAAACACCCATTAAAATTTCTAGATACATGAATAGAAATAAATTCATTTATAATAATTCTATTATAGATTAAGATTCATCAAATCAAGATTCATTTAGTCTAGATTAATGTAAATTTTAATTAATTGAGAATTAATAACACGAAATTCATACATGACAAGAATTTTGTAAGAATTAATTGCTAATACATGAAATTAAACACCCATTAAATTTTTTAGATACATGAATATAAATAAATTCATTTATTATATTTCTAGATTCATGTAAATGAATATTTTTCAATCAAGATTCATCGAGTTTAGATTAATGTGAAGGTTAATTAATTGGAAATTAATAACTTGAAATTCATACATGACAAGAATTTTATAGTATTTATTACATATTGAAAAACGAAAAAGTAAGGTATTATTGTAGTAGGGTTAAAATCGTCCAAAAAATGATTCTCACTTGACGTGATATTTAATATATTATAGATATAGATATGTTGATGCTAGAATTATTCTTAAGAAAATCATGTTATTTTTTTTATTACATTTATTGTCTTAAACTTCTCTTGTGCCAAGGTTCCTATTTTATCATTCTTTGTCTCCTTCATTTTTGGGTGGAGTATTGATACAATCCATGAATTTTCAAAGTGCTACTATTAAATATGGTCTATCCTTGACAAGTCTGGTTATTAAAACCGTTCGAGGCTCTTGTTTTAGCCTTACACTTTATATTTGTAGGTGTATCCTTGAAGTCCTGTGATGATTTGATTAGATCGGTGGATGATGCTTTTTCTTTCGTAGCAGCTTTTGAGTTCTTTGTTTGGCTTGGTTGGAATGCAAGCAATTTTGAAGTATCTTTTGATCTTTGGAAGATGACGATTTGATTGTATCAATTTAATTATCAAACTCAATTTGATTTATAGGACACTATATTGAGTTTTGAGGGAGAATGTATGGAAAGATTATTATTCATTATATTTTTTCAATTGTGTGAGATTATTTTCATTAATATTTGATTGTTTGAGAATCATACAATCTTTCTTTTTAGAGTTACTTGCACCTCCAAATTGGGTATTCTACTTTGTAATAGAGACACAAGTTTGTTATATATAATTTATAATATTCTAACAGGAACTCAACAAGAGACAAAGTCTAAGAACAAACTATAGGTGAAATGCCCAAATTTTGGTCTTTTGTCAACTTCAAGCTTTCAGCAGGCTAATTGAGAGGAGCGATTTTGGGTTATGTTGCTTTCTGTTCTAAATAAATGCTCCAAAGCTTTTTAATTTATGGCTGAAAAGTAAAAAACGAAAAATCGAGTAACAATAATTGTATCCATAGTTTGTAAACTTAGTATGTTTACATCAATAGAGTGGTGTTTTGTTAACATCAAGTAATGCAGTGGTTTATTTGTACCTAAAATGCCTAAATAACTGCCTTATTACCTATTATTTAGAACAGCTAAACGAAGTAGTGGCGTACTTGTGTTATCTTACTGTAAATTCATCTCTCCTTTAATTTTCTGATAAATTTAGTCATTCTTGTAAATTAACCTTTACACAGAGCGTACTCCGACACAAAACAGTCAAGTGACCATTCATTGAACTCCGATTCCAAGCTGGTGGATGATCCTTTTTTAGTCTTTGAATCCTCTGCATCCCAGGGAGATGCTTCTTGGCCTTTTTCTGGTTCTGTGGAACAAAATGCAGGAAAAGGCTCAGTTCAATCTTCAATTGATGAACTTGAAGATTTTGCCATGGGTAAAGTCCAGAATGATGCAAATATTGATAGCACGGGGAAAATGAAAAATGTGAGGAGCACAAATGACAGACCATATTCAGAGAGAATTGGGAATATAAAAATTTCTATTGGAAAAAAGAAGGTAGGTCCAAATGAGGGAGAAGTTAAAGGAAAACAGGAGGCACTTCCCAAAAGTCAAAGGACAAATGAAGAGCGAGCACGGAGGGCCAATGAAGGGAAGAAAGGATTTGAGAATGAAGATGATCTCGATATGTTTTTTAGCAGTGGTGTACAGTTAAACCATATGGCTAGGAGAAGTTCCACGACTGAGGTAGAAAACTAAATCTTCTTATAGTTTTGTGGTATACTGACGTTTTTATTAGACTATTTATTAATGAGTTTTTTCTTCATTTTTTGGTTGGTTCCAGGACTCTCTGTTTGATACGCTATTCCATGAGAAAAGAGAGTCTAAAGTTAAGAGTACAACTTCATCTTCAGTCAGCACAAAGAAGGCGTCTTCAATGATGAATAATGTTGACAACTTCTCTTCACTTTTCGGAGGTACTCTCATTGGCTAAAGCAACCTTCACTGTAGAATTGCTTAATATCAGTGCTCTTATGGACTCTATGAGTTATTAATAACTTAGTAATGATTTTAATATGCTTTTACATATTCAGTAATCAAGAATTCTTAGTTTTTTTTTTCTTCGCAAAAGTTTTATCTTAGAATATTATGATCAAACATGAAATTTTACATTGTAATGTTTAGGGCATGCTTTAAATGTTTATGAGTGAATTAGAATCTGTTGAAGTTGCAGTATGAAAATAGGAGTTGCTACCCCGTGTTTTGTTTTTCATGTTCCAACTAAGCTCAACCTTTTGCTAGTTAATTAGACTGTTCAGGCTTTTGGAGACGCCACCTCTTTGTTCCTTCCTCTCTGACACCATCAGTATGTGTATATCTATGATGAGTGACTTATACTTGCAATGATATGTATAATGACCAGTGTTCTAAATAGAGCGCTTAGGCTGCGCGGGCAAATCGCTTTGCCTTGACATTAAACGCAAATTAAGCAGTCAACTTAGTCAACTGCACGCTTTATTAAATTTTTTCCTTTTTTGAAAAACGTTTTATTTGACTTTAGTTTATTAACTTTTTTTTTATTTTTTTAAAGGCTTTTATTTGATTTTTGTTTCAAATTTTTAATTGTCTTTATCTGTACGAAAGTCAAAAATAACTTTATCCGATAAAGATTTAGATAAGATTTAAGTTACGGTGCTATTTATATTATGTAATTATGATTTTGAGACTTATGGTTTTGTTAGAAATTTTGAAAGTATGTATGAAGTTTCTATAAATCTGTTAAGTAGGATTTGTCTAGTTGAAAGTTGAAATTATGAAAAATAATTTAGCTTTTGCATTTCGAAAACTTGAAAATTGTACAATTGACTAATTGTAGGAATTATTAAATAAATATAGTATTTCATAATTTTAGATCTTTTGGAATATATTATTTTAATTATTAAATGATTTTTATAATGATTTAAGTATTTAAAATAATAATAAAAATAAGTAACGCCTTTTTATGCTTATGCCTTGTCTAGGCTCGCCTAGGCTAGAAAAGCTTGCAATAATGACCCACTTGTGATATAAGGTCGAAATTGTCAAAATAAGATATAGATGGGCTTTTGATTAGACCAAAGAAGGCTAGATGACAATTACAGTCACTTCAAGGATAAAACTAGAGTGAAATTTGTAACCTACACAAGTAGTCAATGTCTAATAACGCTTTATTGGGTAGTGAGACATTTTACCTTTCTGGGTGTGGTGACGCATAAGCCTCAAGACAAACAATATGATAATTCAAGAGATTATAAAAATTCAAAAACATGCTCATAATGAACCTTAAACTATTCATTATAGAACATATTAACAAAATTAATAGTCTAACTTCCGAACAACATAAAATAGATTAATAAAGTAGATAATATGATTTCTCAAGTTAGTTACTAGAAGTAGAAACAAGTTAAAAATCCCTCATATTAGCTACTAATAGGATCGTTAATTGAATCATCTAAATTGTCCTCGTCCTCATCATCACTATCATTACCTTCTCATATTTAGTAATGATCCTCCATTTGCAATGTTGTATTATCCTTCCTCTTTCCATTCTGTATAAGCACAAAAAGAAAATGAAAGAACCCGTAAAGCATTCTAGGTTGTAGGGAGACAGCCCAAAAAGCTAAGGCCAGTAATGCAATGTCAGGAAAACGTAAAACAAATAGAACGCCTAAGTCGCCTTGAGAGATTAAAGGAATAAGCCTCAAATAGTTTTTCTAAGCAATGCAAGTCATATGATGAACTGTATGCTCAGGGGACTTGGTGAAACATCTTTATCAATGGTTTTTATTGCTTGTCGCCCACAATGATTCATACTGGGAGGACCAACTATACCTGTTCCTCGAAATAATGTTTGGTGATGCTAATGTTTTAAATCTTTATGATTAATTTCTGTTTGTAATTTGCGTTTAGATGACACATCATCTGGAGAATTTAAGGAAAAAGAAGGGGAAAGTGAAGAACGAAGAAGAGCAAGACTAAATCATCATATGAGGACCCAAGCTCGTATGGTATGTTTTCAGAATTCAACATTTACTTGGTTATGCTACTTGTTTTCAGATTACGATTGTTATCTTAATTGTTTTAAGGTGATAACCATATCTTTTGCATCTCAAATTTATGCATGAGCTATGAAAATCAATGAAATGGCAGAAAGAGCATACAAAAGACTAATTGAGTCGATAATCCTTGTTAGCTACTTTCTGGTGAGGTCATGTAACTTGTACTAAAGTAACACTGGTAAATAGTGCCTGAGTATGTCAGGCTTCCACAGCATGTACAAGGTAGCCATTAAATCACGAGTTTTACTCGACTGTATATATTATCATCTATGCTGCACGGAAGAGAAGCAGTCCCTACCATTTCCTCCCTTTCTTATCCTGTTCCTTCTAGGACTTGAGAATGCATTGCACTCAGGCTCTAATGAAACGAATATGAAGCCACTCTAACCCTGTGCAGGTTTTGATCATGTGGCTGGAAATGATTTGATGTGATTTGTGGTTTGACTGATACCCTGCCTTAGTGGGGTTAAAAATTCCCAGTTGTTTTCTTTTTCAGGCTAAAGCATTGGCTGATAAAAATCGACGTGACGTTCAGGCACAACACGAGCAGGAAGAGAGACATGTAAGATTCTCGTTGAATACTTGGAAAAACTGCATTTTATTGATTGCTAAGGAACTTATATCTCTTCTATGTGTGCTTGCACATGCATGTTTTGTCCTGTTCCAGTTTATTCGGCAGAGACGAGTTTTAAGACTGTATCTATTTTTCTTTTTGTGGGGGCACACCCATCTGTATGTTCTTGTTGCTTTCTCTTATACGCACACTTGCAGAGACGCTTCACAGGTGCTCAGCATTGTTGGCAAATATGTGTGTATTGAAGACAAACTCAACTTCAAAATTCCGATTTAGTCATTCTATCCCTTTGTAACTGAACTTTATGTTACAGATGCTTGCTGAAACTATGGACAATGATATAAAGCGTTGGGCAGCAGGAAAAGAAGGAAATTTGCGAGCTCTGTTGTCGTCATTGCAACAGGTTTTTTTCATCAACCATTCAACCCCTTTTCTTTCCCTCTTTTATGTTGCAGAGTTAATAGTACTATGCGAAGGTCTTTTTATTTTTATTTTTGTATTACACAGTTTTCCTTTCTTCTTCTGCTTGCTGTATCTGTGCTGGAGCCAACACCCCCTTTCCCGGGGCGGGCTTTGGGACAGAGTTGGCATTCAGTCCATGCAGAAAGAGTACTCCAATTTCAAATTGAGTGGGTCTTCCCTTATCTTGATGTTCCAAACTAATAGTTGCTTACCCAAAATGAAAGTTTTTGAACCATTCTTTCCGAAATACCCCTCATTAATATTATAAGCAGGGTATCACTCAGAAACTACTTCTGCTCAATAAAGAAAGAAGGTGGTTTTGGCACACTGAAGCTTCCTAGAGAGACTGATTCAAGTGGATGTTTTCATTTCAATGAGGAATAAAAAAATATGGTTCATAGGCATGTGAAATTAAGTTAGACCAGTTGTCATCGTTCTTTCTCACTCTGCTCATTTTTCAATCAATATATGACCTAACATGATAGGGAATTGACCACTATCATTGTCAACCCCAAATCAGCATGATCTTGAAATTAGTGCTGCCACTTCAAAAATTTCCAGCATACAAACGAGGTAACCATGCAAAGTTGCTAACAGAGGGGGGTGCATATATCATTCGTCCAGTCATAATATTGCAGGATGCCGTGCTGTAATTGCTGTCTGAATTTTGTAATAAATGTCAAAAGTCTGAGGAACAAAATATGTTGGGGTAGCACGATTCCAATCCCCCAGCAGATCAAATACGTGATGTAAAATGTAATACTGAAATCAACAGTTTGACTTTATGTTTTAAAGATGATTTTCTCTAAACCATTTACAAACATGTCGGCTTTAAGTAGAATTAGTTTACTTTATAATTCTATTTATTCAAAATGGAAGCAAATTGGTTCATGTAGACGTGAGCTTGCACTTTCGTTTTTATTGTTCTTTTTTATATATTGAAGGGTTACAATCATAAATCAGTGCCAAACAGTAGCGGTCTGGAAGATTTTTTATTTTTTTATTTTTTAGATTTGGTTATGAATAGGGACACTATAGGAATGAGAGAAGTTAAATCATTTGAGTGCTCACCTGACTAGCATGGACCATGTGATAACTTCATTTGAATAAACTAATTGTTGGAGTCTATGGGATGATTTGCAGGTGTTATGGCCTGAATGTGGTTGGCAGCAAGTATCATTGACCGATTTAATTACTTCCACATCAGTGAAAAAGGTTTATTATAAAGCAACCTTATGTGTCCATCCAGACAAGGTTCAACAAAAAGGAGCCAATCTTCAACAAAAATACATTGCTGAGAAGGTTTTTGATCTTCTGAAGGTACTTTCATTTGATTTTCATTGTTCGAGAAGTCCCATGATTTTGTTGCTCCTGAGATGAAATTTAAACGTCTTCGTATTCATGCATCTATCATTGCCATAGAGGATCCGAAGGGATTAGAAATAAATTAGATCCAACGATATGCTCCACTGGGTAGTCAGGTTTTTATCTCTAGGAGGAGAGGCGTAAGCCTCAAGACAAAAAATAAAAATATTCAAAAGAATATAAATATAGAAAATTTCTCTTTTGATAAACCATTGCAATAGACCTAATCGTCTCAGAGAAATTTTCATAACAATGATTGGATCTATTTATATAAATACCATTTCCATGTCATTGCATTTATGCACATACAATTTCGTGTTAGTGTTGCATTCGTTACTCTTTATGTGTATTCATCAAGTCTTAAAATTTTGTAGGAAGCTTGGAATAAATTCAATGCTGAGGAAATGAGATGAGTTTTCAGAAAAAACGTTGGTGCCACTATGTTGAGGTATATCGTGTTCCTTTGTATAAAAAATGGGTCACCTAGCCCAATACACCATAATGTTTTAACATTTCTTCATTAGAACAGCTTCTATGTTCATTCTTAGTTCCTGAGTTTATACACTGGGAATCATGTCACAAGGTTGCTTTTGCCTTAGGGTTTATTTTTATATTCGTTCTGTGTTTGGATTGTTTGAGAATAACTTCTCGTCCAGTAGTATGGACTAGTAAACTTCATAGGCAGTTGTAGTTGACCTGAATAATTGTCAACGAATTAGTTTGCCTTGTGCATGATGTGTTACGTGATCATCATCACGTCTTGTAAATTTAAACGACTTTGAAGATTTTTCGTTTTTCATGGAAAAAATGTTTCTGCATGCTTATTCTTGTTTTCCTGATAGGTGAGCTAAACTTTCTGGTTCATACTGCCAGTTGCCATTTGTTGCTTGATAAATTAAACTTGTTTAGTCATTGAAGTTGACTGTAGTTTGAAGGATCCTAACTTTTCCCGATTTGCAACTTCAATCCCTGCCCCCAAGCAAAAGAAGCTACTAGGTTTAAATGTACGTCATGAAATACTTTTGTTCGATCATTGGGCTGTGTTGATAGATGCTGGCATTAGTAAAGTTGATAAGGAGCTTACGGAATATCGTAGGCTTGATGTACCCCAATAAGTGTTTGTTCGCAGTATTGAATTGAAGTGAAGAATACAATAGATCATATTTTAGCTTCTTTAGATCCTCAATACTATTGAGTATGGTCAATAAGTTAGTTTATTTTGGAGAACTTAGCCATGGTTGCTTTATGTGAAGGTTGGAATGTTGTCAAGCCTTCAAGCCTGGTGTGGTTGTGCAAATGATATGGTTAAATGTTGGATCAATTCGAAGCTTTTTTCTTGCCTTTTCAAGATACTAAAATATTCTCTATTCTTGATGGTGTCTATTCCAATTGACGGAGAGGACTAAATTTGAACTATTTATTGGGATAAATACTCTAAATCATGCAGTGAAATTTCGATAGATCTTAGAAATTACTATCCTTTCTTAAATAGTGCAAATGAAAGGTTAAAATACAGTATTAATTAAGGTTTTATTATTAAAAAAACTATTGATGCATTTGCCAACTAGTAAAAAGCACCAAATTTGTCAATACTTGTATGGAAGTTGACTAATACGGCTTATTTTCGAGCCTGCCATCATCGTCGAACCAGGCACATTGAGGGAGAGAGAACCCATCGATCTTTGTTTTGAGCAAGCCAAATAATGAAAATCACATGACTATTAGTGTATGATTCCGATATGTGTGATATTCGATGCTTAGCTCTGGTGGGAATCAACCTGAAATTCCCAACATGTGAGAAACGCTGAATAGAGAAAATACACATCAAAGAAAAACAATCACACGCACAAAGTGGTTCAGCCAATTTGTCTACGTCCACGGAGTTGCAAGTATTTCACTATTATCATAAAGAATACAAGTGCGGTCGTATAATTTTTTTCTCTCCATGGACTAAATCTCAGAAAATCTCTCATTAAAAAACCACAAAACATTATTCAGGTTGGATCGTCAACCAGATCAGCAAAATTAGGCTCCACAAAGCCCAACAGTTCACAATAAAAAAAAAAAATAAATAAATTCTTGAATCTTGCTTGCTGATGGTTTGTGGGATCCTGTGTAATTATTTACGGTTTTTTTTTTTTGGAAGGGAATTACTGAAAGGGTAATTATAGTCTCACGACATTTTTTAATATCTGTACCATATTTTAATTACAAGAAAGGTTTTCAATATTTGCTCACTTTTATTTTTGTGCCCTCAAATTTTTTCTCGTCGCATTGCCATTCTTAACCTTCAATTAATTAACATATTTTGTCTCTAATCACAATTTTCATCCAAATATGCTGCTCACGGGTATTGAAAAGATGGGCAAATACTTTGCTTAACTTTTATACTTATTTTATTTCGATTATTTAAAAATATTACAGATTAATGTCATTTTGACTCTCTTAACTAATATTTTGGACGAAAATCGTCTCTATAAACAAGACATGAAAATTAATGGAGGATTGATGATAAAAATTCAAAATAAAATAAAATAATAATAATAAGTTGAGAACATAAGTGTAAAAATAAGAAAAGTTTAGGAATATTTATTGTAAATAAAATATGTGGTTGATAAAAATTGTGGCGTGAATATATTTATCCTTATCGTAAAGGAGTCATCCCATCAACTCATGTCTTCTTTTCCCGGTTATCATTTTGTCCTTTGTTGAATTATGAAGGCAATTTATTATTATTATTATTATTATTATTATTTTAAGTAGGGCTGTCCGTGGGTCGGTTCGGTTCGGCTCTGAAGAGACCCGAACCGACCCAAAACTTTCGGGTATTTAATAAATGGACCCGTCGGGTCCAAATATAATTATGGAACT